GTAGAGATGCTAAAGCAAATGGAAGAAATGAGGACGTCCAAGAGCTGAACAGAAAATTTCAAAGATCAGCTCAAGAAGATAAAGCCAAATATTACAACAAAATATGCAAAGCCTTGGACTCAGAAAACAAAAAAGGAAGAACATGCTCAGCATTTCTCAAGCTGGGGGAACTGAAGGAAAAATTCAAGCCTCGACTTTCGTTACTGAAAGATTCTCTGGGCAAATTACTGAATGATGCCGAAAGCATCAGGAGAAGATGGAAGGAATACACAGCGTCACTGTACCAAAAGGTTTCAAGAGGTAGCATATGATCATGAGCCAATGATAGTGAAGGAGGAAGTCCAACATGCATTGAAGGAATTAGCAAAGAACAAGGCACCAGGAATTGATGGAATAAAAATTGAAATCTTTCAATAAAGTGAGGCAGCACAGGAGCACTCATCTCTGGCAAGAAATTTGGAAGACAACTCTCTGGCTGACTGATTGGAAGAGATCCATATTTGTGCCCATTCCAAAGAGAGGTGACCCAACGGAATGTGGAAATCATCAGACAATCTCTTTGATATCCCATGTGAGTAAAGTTTTGCTAAAGGTAATACAGATACAGCTACAATCATACATTGACAGAGAACTTCCAGAGGTTCAAGCCAGATTCAGAAGAGGCCATGGAACGAGGGATATCATTGCTGATGTCTGATGGACCTTGGCTCAAAGCAGAGAATATCAGAAAGATGTTTACCTGTGCTGTACTGACTACGCAAAGGCTATCAACTGTGTGGATCATGACAAGTTACGGACAACACTGCGAAGTATGAGTATTCCTGAACACTTAATTGTGCTAATAAGGAATCTGTACCTGGACTAAGAGGCAGATGTTTGAACAGAACATGGGAACACTGAATGGTTTAAAATTTTAAAAAGGGTGCAACAAGGTTGTATTCTTTCACCATACTTATTCAACCTGTATGCTGAGCAAATAATCCGAGAAGCTGGGTTCTATGAAGAAAAATGTGGCACAACAGGATTGGAGGAAGACTCATTAACAACCTGAGATATGTACATGATACAACCTTACTTGCTGAAAGTAAAGAGGACGTAAAGCATTTACTGATGAAGAATCAAAGAGCACAGCCTTCGGTATGGATAACATCTCAATATAAAGAAAACAAAAATCCTCACCACTGGACCAATAAACAACATTCTTATCAATGGAGAAAAGATTGAAGTTGTCAAGGACTTCATTCTTCTTGGATCAACTATCAACACTCACGAAAGCAGTAGTCAAGAGCTCAGATGACGTATTGCATTAGGCAAATCTGCTGCACAAGACCTTTTTAAAGTGTTGAAGAGCAAAGATGTCAGCTTGAGGACTAAGGTGCGCCTGACCCAAGCCATGGTATTTTCAGTAACCTCATATGCATGCGAAAGCTGGACAGTGAATAAGGAAGGCTATAGAAGAATTAATGTTTTTGAGTTATGGTGTTGGAGGAGAATATTGAAAGTGCCATGGGCTGCCAAAAGAACCAATAGATCTGTTTTGGAAGAAGTGCAGCCAGAGTGATCCTTGGAGGCCAAGATGGCCAAACTTTGTCTCTCATACTTCGGGCATATTTTCAGGAGGAACCAGTCGCTGGAGAAGGATATATCAAGTTTGGTATGGTTGAGGCTCAGAGAAAAAGAGGAAGACCCCCAATGAGATGAAGTAGCCAAGTGGCAGCATCGATGGACTCTAGCGTGGCAACAGTAGTGAGGTTGGCCCAGGATTGGGCAGTGTTTCATTCTGCTGTGCATAAGGTCGCTATGGGTTGGTACTGACTTGATGGCACCTAACAACAAACAACATCTCTCACAGGGTTGTTGTGATGATTACGTAAATTACTATATAAAAGATCTTAAAGTTCTCAACAAATAATAGCTATAATTACATTTCTTCTTCCAGGAAGGTTGTACAGACACATACTCACATATACATACCAGCAGCATATGGTTTCACCACATTAATGGTCGCTAATTTGAAACAAAAAATAATGGCATCTTATTTTAATACGCATTTATTTGAAAACCATGGGGACTAGAACTGGGCTGAGACCTTTACAAATAGAAGATGGCAATATAGAGCCCCAAATGAACTTTATTTTAACCTTCTGTCTGTCTTGATGGTGGTGCAACTAATTGTATATGTGCTGTTACTCATTTTATCTTCTCTATTACTCTCCTTCTCTGGCCTACTGAGGCATTTCATCCTGATCCCCCAGTTCTCTGTGTAATTCCCTATCTTAGATTCAATGAAGTCTACCTTTTCTCCAATATGCTGGATTCTACTTCTATTCTTAAATATCGTGGTGCAGTTCTAACCATGTATACCAGAAATACAGAATGTGATGTCACATCATTTAATGTACTCAAGAGAGGTAAATGACTTACTGCTATGGGTTGAATTATGGCTCTCCCTGACTCCCCCACCCCCAACCAAGTGTTGAAGTCCTAATTTCCAGTACCTGTGCATGGGACCTCATATGAAAATAGTATATTTGCAGACATAATTAGTTAACATGAAGCTATACTAGAGTTGTAGTTGTTGTTAAGTGCCGTTGATGAGGTTCAGACTCATAGCGACTGTGTACAGGGTTCCCAAGGAGTGACCGCTGGATTTAACTGCCAACCTTGCAGTTCAAACTGACCTTGAAGTCCAGTGCATTGTTCCACAGTGTCACACCAGGACTCCATACTAGAGGAGGGTGGCCCCTAATCCAATATGACTGGTGTCTTAGGAAAGAGACACAGAAACAGGGAGCACATAGAGGGAAGACGAAGACCGAGATCGGAGTCATGCTGTCACAATTTAAGGAAAATTTAGAACTATGAGAAGTTGAAAGAGACCCTAGTGGCTTCAGAGGAAACATAACATTGCTGATATCCTGGATTTGGATTTCTAGCCTCTAGAATTTAGTGAATAAATTTCCTCTGTTTTTAGCTACCCATTTTGTAATGCTCTGTTACAGCAACCTTAAGAAGCCAATACACTTCTTATCCAAGATCCGGGTCACCTAACTAGTACCCAAGGTCACTTAGCTATTCAGAAGCACATCCAGAGTTTCATCTCTAGTGTCTGATTTAAATGCACATCCCCTTCCATTACATCACATTGACTGTAGAATAAATCGGCAGTTCTAAACTCGTCAAGTTTTAAGCCAGAATGAAGACATTTAAAGAATAATATAATTAGCATTTGTGATTTCCTATATTTTCAGTTCATTAAACTTCCTGATGTGAAAAACAGCATAAAATTTTTCCCAGTTCCTTCCATTTGCTCTATGCATGCTGTATCTAATATTTTCCTAGTCTTCATTTTTTACTCACAGTCTTGACCTGGCGCATTCAAAATTCTCTTGAGATGTCTTTTCCTTCCAATAAGCATTAAGCTTCTGAGCAAGGGCATTTATTGTCAACCTGAAAGAAAAAGGCAAAAAAAAGCATGTCAAGGTTCAGTGCTTACAACAAAAGAATTTTAAGATTTTTAAAACACTCCCATCTAAAAGAAGTCAACAATTTAGAATATTCAGCATAGTTTGCAATATTTGCTCTTTCAGAAACTAAGACGGGAATCCACCCTTTGGCAAGTTATATGTCAAAATAACAAATTTGTAATATTAAATACTGACTGGTTAAAAAGATAAGCTGAAACAGAGGCAAAAAAAGGATCTTTCCCTAGAAGCTTCAGAAAGAGCATGGCTCTACCACACCCTGAATTCAGATTTTCACAGCCTCCAAAACAGCCTAGAACACCCTAACGGGGCAGCTCTATTCTATGGGTCAAAATTAACTTGGATAATACCCAACAGCTTCTGAAACTGTAAGAGAATAAATCTCTGTTGTAATTCATCCACTTTGTGAGACTTTGTTACAATAACCTCCAAAACTAATTCACTTATTCTTCTCCAACCTACCAATGCTCTTTCCTCAAGTCATAAATGAACAATTCCTTGCTTGCTTTTAAAAAATCAACTTCTGACAGAAAGTAGATTGGTAGTTGTCAGGAGCTGTGGGGATGGGGAAATGCGGAACTGCTAATAGACATGTAGTTTACTTTTGGAGTGATAAAAATGTTCTAAAATATAATGGAGATAGCCACACTTCATGAGTATACTAAAGATCAATGGTCATCTTTAAAGTATGTGAATTTTAAAAATCAAAAACAAATATCTGTCCTCATGGATTTTTAAAGTCAGATTTATTGAGGGTAAAATTTATATACAGTAAGATGTACCTCTTTTAGTATAGCGCTCTATCCATTTTAATAAATACATACAATCACTACATCAATTAAAATACTACTCACACATGCTTGTGGCCTTATTCTCCAAATACTTAACTCTTCCCTCTGACATCTCCACTCTTCTAGTCTACATGGTTTTCTCCTTCTGCTTTCATTATTCACATGCTGCATTCCTGTCCTAACACACAACTTCACAAAAACCCTGACCTGATGGTGCTGTTCTATTATTCCTTCCTTTTATTCCCCAAGTCCTGGTATATGTGATCTATACTCACTACCTCCTCTTTCTTTTCCTGTATTAATCTCCTGCAACCTAATTTCCACCTATGGCAATCTATAAAACTGTCCCACCATCATTATTCTATCAATTATCTTGCCAATACCTTAGTCTTCTAGTCTTCTAAGTTTGAAACTTTGACATGATCTGACCCAACCATTTTATTTCCTTTATCCCTTTGTCAATGTCACTGAGTTCTAGTGATCCTTATATTTTCATAATGTGTCATATACTTCCTTTTTCAAAGCTACTCTTATTTCAGACCTTCATCTTACACCTAAATTATCCCCAACAGCCTTCAATCCTTCCTCTAATCCATCCTATGGTTTAGTTCCAGAATTATCAAAGGATATAATTTATTTAGAGTCCCGATGTGACACCGTAGGATCAGCACTGGACTGGTAAATCCAAGGTTGGCAGTTCAAACCCACTAGCCACTCTCAGAAACCCTATACAGGATCACTATGAGTCGGAACCAATTAAACAGCACACAACAACATAATTTATCTAAAACACAGTGTGTTTTAGATAAAGTGGCATACAAGTATAATTTCATTGTTGTTGTTAAGTGCCATCGAGTTGGTTCCAACCCACAGCGACCCTGTATAGGGCTTCCAAGGAGCGGCTGGTGACAAGTATCATTTACCGTTATTGAGATTCTGATGGCATCATTCTTTCAAGTTATTCCCTATTCAATAATACACAATGAATTCTCATTATCTAATGACTCAATTGCTCTACCCAAAGTCTCTCTGAGAAGTTCCCAAATCTTCATGGTTCACGGTACTTTTAGTGTCTCAATTTTTCATGGTGTCGCTATGTAATATGCAACGCTCCCATTTATTAAATCGGAAAGTCCAAACAACTTATGACAATAAATAAGAACACAAGGGGATACTACATGGTTTAACTTTGGAGAAGGTGTGTACCAAGATTGGATCTTTTCACCATATGAGGGAGCTTCAAAAAGTCTACGGGAAAATGAATTTAAAAGATAATTGAATTTTTCCATGAACTTTTGAAGCCCCCCTTGTACTCATACATTTTGTATGCTAAACAAATAATCCCAGAAACTGGATTATATAAAGAAAAACAGTTTTAACAGGATTGGAGGCTCATTAACAATCTGCACTATACAGATGACACAACCTGGCTTGCTGAAAGTAAAGAGAACTTAGCACTGGTCTGCTAACCACAAGGTCGGCAGTTCAAACCCACCAGTCACTCTCAAAAACCCACCTAAAAATATAAACAAAAGCCTTTATTTTTATTTCTTTACAAGGTAAGATTCTTATGATTCAATAGTGAGTAACTGTTATCATAACTAATTGCAACTGTCTGAACCATAAAGATAGAAGTATTGTAACAAAAACGGGGGAGTAGTTAATCTTACCGCAGCCCAGAAACAGAGGCCCCTAGGACCATCAAGGGAGAAGAGCACAAACGGAATGCGGGACCTTATCCAGAGAAGCAGTGACACCAGAGATGAAGGCAGAGATGAGGACATGGGAAGAGGGAACAACTGAGGACTCTAGACTCATGGAAAGAGAGGAAGTGGGTGCTGGAGGCCAGGAGGTAGGCTTGCAGAATGTGCCCTTTGGTCGCTTAAGTTATTATATATTCCTTGAGTGTTTTTGTGTACAACTCCCCCCCCCACTCAAAAAAAAAAAAAAAAAAAAACCCAGAGGGAATGGAAACAGACACCATTGAATGATGATGCACGGAGGAGATTGTAATCATTGAAATGAAATGATGGTATAAAGCCAACGTCCTCCCATGTAAACTATCACCCAGTTCACAAAAAAAAAAAAAGGTATACAAAATGCTCTTTGAAAGGATTAAGCATGAGAGTCATAGCTATCCTCAGCTTTCTCTAAAGAAGTCACATATAAAGGTAGGATTATCTAGGAAAGATGTGTTGAGGAGTCTCTTGTCTAGTGATGTGAATCCTGAATCCCTGTGACATATATAGGAGAACCACAAGGTTCTTGAGAATGCTATATTAGCATAAGTACTGCTAGCTTGGACTTAAAGGGACAGAGCGAGTATAAAGTGAAAGAATGCTGTCAGAATCCGAAATTCTACAGGCAGCAAACAGACTGATGAAACTGATCTACTGCAAACATATACCAATGTCCATAAAAGAAAAAAATGGTGATTATGAGCTTAAAAGGCAGTGTGCCTCAATCCCAAAGGGCAGAACTGCAAGGCCCAGAGGATTACTCCTAGGGCTTAAAACCTATATAGAATTTTCTTGGTTGGATTTAAAAACTGCCTGGAACCTGTTACTTTTTCTTTCATTTTTCCCTTTCTGAACCGAAATATCTGTAACTTATATCCTATACCTGTCCCACTATTCTATTTTTTACTTCAGAATATAAAAACACACAACCACCACTACCAGTAACAATAAAGGCTCCCTAGATGGAGAGGAATTTTCCTCCAGAATACATCTTAACCACGGTCCTGTCCATATCTGACAGATGATGAATGTGGAACTTTTCAGCTGATGACATTTAGATGAGGTTTTAGGTTTTGATTTCATGCTGCAATGGATTGAGATTTGTTGGGTGTTTAGAACGGTAAAATACATTTTTCATGTGGAATGTATCTATGGTTCTTAGGAGTTCAGATGCACTATCTTAATTTCTAGTAACTGTGTTTTAAATTTATAGCAAGAGAGTATTAATGATGCAGACTGGATTAAGGTTACCAATGAGCTGATTTTAAAATAGAGTGGTTTTTTTGGATTAACCAATAAAATAAAAAGTCTTTAAATGTACAAGAAGCAGGCAGATGAGTCAGAGGAGTGTGCAATATACGACGGACACAAATTGCTGTTGCCAATTTTGATGATGAAGGAAGGGATTCATGGGTCAAAGAATACTAACAGCTTCAATAACCTGGGAAAGGAAACAGATTCTCTTCTAGAGCCTCAATAAACAAAGACATACGACCTTTCTGACACCTTAGTTTTAGCCTATGGAGGCCCATCTAAGACTTGTAGCCTACAGAACTGAAAGATAATAAATCTGCGTTGCTTTAAAACACTTAAGTTTGTGGTAATTTACTAGGAAGCTATAGCAAACGAATTGTAGTGTTGTTGTTATGTGCCATTAAGTTGGTTCCGACCCATAGAGACCCTGGATAGGGTTTCCAAGGAGCGGTTGGTAAGTTTGAACCACCGACCTTGCAGTTCAAACTGTGGTCAAATGCTTATCCTACAGCACCACACCATGACTCCAAGAAAACTGATAAAGAAGTCAAATTATGTATTTCCCGCAAAAATGTAAAATATCTTGTGGCTAGGTTACCTTTTGAGTTCACTATGAGTATCTTGGCAAACAGTTTGGGAACTGTGGCTCTAGCACAAGGGTAGGAAAACTACAGACAATACGCCAAATCCAGCCTCCTGCCTGATTTTGTAAACAAAACATTTTTAGAAAGTCATGTTCATTCCTTTACATGTTATCTATGGCTGCTTTCCCACTACAGCACAGTTGAATAGTTGTGACCAAGACTGTATGGTCTGCAAAGACTGTAATATTTACTACCTGGCACTTTACAGAAAAAGTCTTCTAAACCCTAATCTAGGATACGACTTTCCTTCTCTATCCATTTAACTTTTTTTTCACACTCCCCATATGTTTACTGTTCTAAGCTCCTGTTACCACCTTAGTTCATGCTACAATTCCATCCTAAAATTTCATTTCCTTGCTTTTCTAAATATCATATCTTTTAAGATATATCTTAAGTCATACCGTCTACCTAAATCCTTCCCTAACTACTCTATCAGGATAATTTTCCTTTACTACGCTGAGGTTTTCATAGATCAAGTAAGAATTTTTTGTTCTCTAAATTGTTTCAAGTAAGTGACAGTTTGTCATTACAAACAGA